CTATCCGGACTCTCCGTTGCTGCCGGGGCGAAAACTAACTGTCCGGACAGCGGCAACTTGTGACGCCTCACCGGGGAGCCCCCCGCCCCGCCCCGCCCCGCCCCGCCCCGCGCGGTGCGGTGCGCAGCCTGACGCTGCAATATTCACTAGACGTCAGGGGGAAAAGGGAGGGGGGGGGGGTTCGTCCGCCGTGGCTTTTGCATGTCCAGAGCGGCGCTCGTCTTTCCCAAAGCCACTAGACCAGGTCTCCCTTTGCGGATGAATGATTCGGTCGGCACCGCAAAAAAAAGTGTGGAAAAAGAAATTAAAAGTAAACCAACGACGCCGTTTTTTTTCAAACTTACTATACTACAAGCCTTGCGCTGTGTCGGCGGCCACTTTGCGTATACAAAATAAGGGAACCGCAAGGACTTTTATCAGTGGCGAGGTCGGCAGGCCAGGGTAAGTACCGGAAGCTACCGGCAGGGGCGGCTGGCATAAACCACCACACCGTTTTAATAAAAGACTGGGCATGCCAAGTGGCATTTTGCTGCAAAAGTCTGTTCCCCGCAGCCTGGGCCCGGCGGGCCGGTGGCGCGGTGGGTGGGGCCCGGGGCCCCCCTTCCCGCACGGGCGTAGCAGTGTAGCAGCGGCCAGAACTGGTCACGACGCCCCGAGCCGTTGCAGCAATGTCATCGCATCGCGAGTCTTATCTCGGCAAGCCGGTCCGTTGGTCTAGGGGTATGATTCTCGCTTAGGGTGCGAGAGGTCCCGGGTTCAAATCCCGGACGGACCCTTCTTTTTGGGGGGAAGAATAGGGGCATCCCATCGCAGCGTCCTTGGATCCTTCAGGCCTCTCTTTCCATTTCCCTTCGGATCGATAGGAACCCCATCGCTCTGCGGGAACGCGTTATTTTCTCCTCATTTTTCCGCCACTTTTGCCCTTTTTTTCAGACATTAATCTGATTACGCCGCTTCCAATCTTGGCCGGCGGAACGAGAGGAAAACAGTCTCCACGGCTCTATCAATCAGGGATCCGGCGAGGGCTCCCTCACCTGCGAAGCGCGAAGCACTGCGAAGGCCCGCGGGAACTCCAGGGAATTCCAGGAAATGGAATGCTTGGTCCGCATGGCTGCTCTGCGCTGCGCAGGCAGCCCACTGGAAGCTCATCTAGAAATGACAACCACGCCTCCGTGAGCACGAGCAGGCCAGCAAGCTTCCTGGGCTCGGCCAGGTTCGGGCTGCAACGCGGACAACGACTAGCTCGCTCTCGATCCTTGATTCTTGCCTCTTTGCTCGGACTGCTCGGACTACTCGGACTACTCGGACTAGCGAGGCAAGTGATTCGATTTTCGAGTAGTCGCTCCGGTGGCCCGCCTCTCGATGAAGCGCCGCTTTTTGTGCGCGCTGCATGCGCCGAGCCAGGCCCCGGTCCGTCCGGCCGGTGGCGCCGCCTGGCGGCCGCGGTCCGCAGCGCTGGCCGCGGACGGGACGGACGGACGGGCGGACGGGTAGCGCGGCGCGGGGGGCTCATAGGGGCGTTCTGGCCGGGCCGGCGTCCCCGCCCTCATCAAGGCCCTCTTTGTCTTGGACACTTGAGCTGACCCAGGCACGGCCAGGCGCGGCCACCACCCCCGGCGGCCCCTCCCCCGCCCGGATCCGACGGTGGGCGTGAAATATTTGGCTGTTTTTGACGCCGCGCTGGCCTCCACGGACTCGGCCTGCTTGTCGGTGTTGTCGGCGACGAGCTGCACGAATCAATCGCGTCTGCTTGGCTCGACGCCTCGACTGCAGCAGCGCCCCGGGCGGCAGAGGGCCGCGGCGCTGTCTCTCTCGCACTCATCGGGACCAGTCCGGACGCGCCGTGAGTGCGACAGAGACCGCGGCGCCGCGTTTAGGGCCGGCCGGCTAATGAGAGCAATCACTGCCCTTCTGGAGTGGCGCGGCCAGAGTCAAGCCAGCGGCTATTCTACAGACTCTACACTGGAAAGGAAAGAAAAGGAAAGAAAAGAGACGCCGCGCCGAGCGCCACTCGACAAGGAGTCGCCGCGGCGGGGCGGCGTCATTCCCCTGGTTCGCGGGAAATAACGAACTTCGGGAAACTGATGCCCTTGAAAACACACAGGAGTCTGATGATCCGAACGGGGAGGCGTCCTGGCGTTCTTGTGATGACGTCCCTCTCTCTCTTCTCTCTCTCTCTCTCTCCGCCGAGACCCCAATAAGAAAATGAAAACAAAATAGAATCGGAATAACCAAAAATAAAAGTGGCGGGTGACTCCATGAGGGGAATGCCGGTGGTGTAACGGGCCGCGCTGCGCGGGCCAAGCCCCTCTCCTTTCTGTACACTCCTCAAAGTCTTGAGAAATCAATACCTGCGACGCCAATACAGAGCACAACGGGACGGCGAGTTTAGAAACTCTTCAGAAATATCGCGTCTACATGTTCAACAGACGACAGTGGGCACTAGAACTGGAGGGTTCTCCGTTTGTTGAGGTTAGGTTAGGTTAGGGTGTCGATAGCACAAGGTGGTCAAGCTTGTTCTGCGCGCTAGAGTATCAGACATGCGCCGGTTTGCCGCCTTTTCACGGAAAGCGGTTCGCGCGTGTCCACTTACACTGTAGCGCGACGGCGCCAACGACACCGGCCTAATCTTGGGGCGATACACTGTTTCACGCCCACAACGCCCTGATTAGGCTCAACTCGTTGTGTCGTT